TTATTTACTATCCGATTTCATCAAACTTGGTATGTATGCGTATAATCAAATTCTAAATTTGATGGAAATATCGAATTTGCGTAGTGCGCATGCGCATTGCTTACTTTCTTATTTACTATCCGATTTTCATCAAACTTGGTATGTATGTGTATAATCAAATTCTAAATTTGATGGAATTATCGAATTTGGGTAGTGCGCATGCGCATTGCCAACTTTCTTATTTCTAATCCTATTTTCACCAAACTTGGTATGTATGTGTATAATCCAATTCTAAATTTGATGGAAATATTGAATTTGCGTTGTACGCATGCGCATTACCAACTTTCTTATTTCTTATCCGAATTTCACCAAACTTGGTATGTATGTGTATAATCCAATTCTAAATTTAATGAAAATATTGATTTTTTGTTGTGCGCATGCGCATTACCAGCTTTCTTATTTATTATCCGAATTTCACCAAATTTGGTATGTATGTGTATAATCCAATTCTAAATTTGTTGGAAATATTGAATTTTTGTTCTGCGCATTACCAAATTTATTATTTCTTAACCGGATTTCATCAATATTGGTCTTTATTTATTGACAAATATTCTATTATTCCTAGTCAATATACTTTAAACTCCAACCACTTTTGGATGTTTGCATTTAGAGATGCAGAAACGTATTTACATCTATGTAATTGCAATAGACCATCTTCGTATGTACCCGAATGTCGTATCCCGCCCTGCATCAGTACTGTTATTTGAACGAGTGGCTCTAGTTTGTTTTTTTTTCGAAATTTCCACAGGGCACACAGCCTAGGCTTCAATAGCTACATCAACATTTCTACATGTGTAAACATTCTGCAGTGGCAACATTGTTAATGAATATAAATTGGAACATTTTTGCAATACCGTAATTGCCACAGTGCAACATATGCAAAAACTCGTAAATTAGCTCTAGAAGGCGCATTTTTGCATCGATTTTCTTCGGGTTTTCATTTTTAAAATCTGGCTGTAATTTCTGATCAGATAGCACTTGAAAAATTACGAAATTCGAAAATTTGTCGCACACTTTTTTCGATTGAATTTTGCAATTTTTTTGCAACTTTTTTGTTTTTGCATCGATTGATCTGAAATTTAAAATGCAAAGAGACATCAATAAAGTCAATGATATGATACAGTCAGAGTTTTGACGTCACTTCCCGTTTTGAAGGTGGAATCAATTGAAAGTACAATCTACTTCCGGTCGAATAACTTCCGGTGTAAATGACATAGGTCAACGGAATTCATGCAGGTTGTAAGTAAATGCTAATACAAAAAAACGAAGAATATAAAATCCAGACCGGAAGTGATACTTTAGCCGCCATCTTGATTTTCTAAATTTTCTTAAAATCGAAATAAGTCTTTAGGAATAAACTAAATCTGCATAAATTTGGTGTCGATGTTATCTGCTGTGGAAAGTCTACAAAACATTGGGAGCCGATTTTTGAATTTCGCTTTTGCATTTTTGCAATTTCCGATTGAATTTTTTCAAAGTTTGAAAGCTTATTTCTTGTGACCTTGACCTTTGATGACATTGACCTTCATAGGGTCAAAGGTCATTGACCTTGGCTATCATTTGATACTTTGACCTTTGACCTCCGACATGTACTTCCGGTTTTATAGCTATCCGTAAAAAGCCAAATTCGCAACTTTGGACTGCTCTAGCACGTGACCTAATTAACCTAGAGAGTAAATTTTTTGGTTTCCTAATGTGCTTCTCGTGTACTTTACATAGATATATAACAATCGTTTTTTTAAAGCAAAATTGAAATTCGTGATTTTTTCAAATTCAGGTTTTTTTTTTACAATATTTGCGACTTTTTGAGCTTGGTGTATGTATATCTTATGATCTATTTGATGTAGAACCTTGATATTTGGAATATAACTAGACACTTTGAATATGAATTCACCTATGACAAAAAAAACTTATATTGGCGTGGCACATCCGGGTTGAATTACTTATTGTTTACATTTTGGGGCTGGGGCATAACTCGCATAGGATACGTTTGTTAAAAAAGGGACTTTGCACACAATTACCTCATCCTTTTGGCCAGTTTGTGTTAACAGCTCAGTTGTTTCAGCTTTATAGTTCCAAAAAAGGAATGGGTTTTAACATTTGGATATTTTCATATTTCGATTTTGACCTTTGTTGACATTTGTTGACCTATATCTTTTGACTTGAATAATGTAGAAGCTTGAAATTTGAAACACAACATAACATTTGGAATATCAATTACCCTATGCAAAAAAAATTAAGGTGGGCGTGGCACATCCGGGTTATATTACTCATTATTGATATTTTTGGCCAGGAGCATAACTCGCGAAGTATACGTTTGTTCAAAATGGAACTTTACATACAATCATTTCATGTTTTGTGTCACTTTGTCTTAGAAATTCGGTTGTTTCCGCTTCATAGTTCAAAAAAAGGAACAGGTTTTGGAAATTCAAAATTTTCAATTTTTGACCTTGACCTTTGTTGACCTTGACCTTTGTAGGATCAAACGTCATTGGCATTGGCTATCTATTTATACTTTTATATTTGCTGTCTTATGTCAACTTCCGGTTTTATAGTCGTGTGCAATTATAAATTTTGATGATGGATATCTCTTGATCTTGACCTTTTTAGACCTTCTCCTTTACAAGATCAAAGGTCATTGACCTTGGCTATCTGCTGATACTTTCATTTGTGAGGTCTGACGTCTACTTTCCGGTATTAGAATTTTTTAAAAAATTTTCTCAACTTTAGACTTTTCTTGCACTTGAAATAATTATCGCCGAAGGTTGATTTTTTCGGGGTCTTTTGCAATTTGCTACATTTGCAAAGTCCCACTCTGTGCCACGTGTGGCTCTAGTTTTCTATGTATTGAAAGAGTTTCTTTTAATATTGAGATTGATTATCATAATTTTTGATTTGAATAGATCGAGGTTATTGGTTTCAGAATATTACCATTAATATTATAGGTAACTCATAGAACATACCCATTCTCCAAAGGGTGTCAAATGCTTTTGAGAAATCTACAAAAATTATATATAGGGCTCGCTTTCTAGATTTAAATTTAAACTTGAGGTATTACTGCCATTTTCAAAAAGTGAATTTACAAGACTCTTAATACATGAAACTGTAAATCATTAGAGAATTTAAATTGCTGTGTAGTTTTAGCTTTATTTTATATCGAAAATTCAAAAATTTATAAAATTCAGTGTATATCTCATAATAAGCTGAACAAAAATACGACCGATATTTTAAGGTTCAAGCAGCACAAGGAAAAGGTGCCCCTGTTAAATATAATGGTCCAATGGATTGTATTAAACAATTATATAAAGAAGGTGGTATTAGAAGTTTATATAGAGGTACTGGAGCTACATTATTAAGAGATTTACCAGCAAGTGGGATGTATTTTATGGTATATGAATGGTTACAACACATATTAACACCACAGGGTGGAAGGTTTGTATTTTAGGGGAACCCAATCATTTTGTTCCTTTGATATTTTATAGACTTTTATCTTTATTGTTAATTTAGGCCAATAGCCAAAAGCTCATAATAAACTGAAATCAAGATTCAGCTTTTAGTGTTTGACTAAACATACATATTAGGACACACTTTAAATAATTTTTCTTAGTGGCCCTAATTAAGATGAAAATTTGTGTACCATATATTTCCGAATATAATGCGCACTCCCCTTACCCATGAAAATCTGGAAAAAATCCATTTACCCATATATAATGCCCATTTGGTGGTAAGACACTACACATTATATTCGGAAATATATGGTACTTTTTGTTCTTAATTTGTTTTTGGATTAACCCAAATTTTTTTGTATAAAATTGGCTTTTAATATCCATTGTTGTAAAACCCCTTAAAAAAATAATTATGGGTCTATCTTTGTTTACATTCAGCTATGAATCACTGGTAAACAATGCTTTATTTTATTTATTTAGTCGTAGCGATTTAAGTGTTGGTAGAACATTAGTTGCTGGTGGTGTGGCTGGTATATTTAACTGGGCAGTAGCTATTCCTCCTGATGTGTTGAAATCTCGATATCAGACAGGTCAGCTGGTTCAATTGATATAAATACCATTTAAATATTTCAGATATTGAAGGAAATTCCGAGGCTGGTTCAATGCTTTAAATTCAAACTATTAAAGTACCCACTTGAACTTTATCTTTTGATCATGCACCTGTCTCTTCAAGGTGTCCAAAAATATTACATATTGTAAATATTTTGTACCCTTTCATAACAGAGATAATTCATAATTTCAAGTGATTTTCAAATCAGCCAATCAACACTTGTGAATAATGATTATCACCTCTGGTATTAACAGGGATTGGTCTTGATTGGTTAAAATCCATCGTCTCACCAAGCTATTTGGATAAAAAAGTAAACCATGGTTTCATCTATTCATTGAAGATGTTGTAAGAATGCAAAACAGTGGAAAACTAAAGGAGCTATAGCACTTTTAATATTAATATTTCAGCTCCAGAAGGTACATATCCTAATGGTATTAGAGATGTTTTCAAACAATTGATGAAGGAAGAAGGAATATTATCTTTGTATAAAGGATTTACACCTGTAATGTTAAGAGCCTTTCCTGCTAATGCTGTAAGTAAAATTTGCATTCCTATTATATAGTTACATGGTGCAGTGCCAGATAAACAATAAGTCTAAAGAAAAGGGTATCCTATAATCCTTGATACAGACCAATATTGTGGTCACTGTGATCTCTTTACCAGCAAGATAATACAGATAAGTGATTCCTAAGATTAAAAACTGTCCAGAGCTCCAGTTTACTAAACCTGCAATAAGATTCACCATTGAACATGGGACAGACAGGTTTTGAAATATATGTTTACTTGTATAATATGTTTGGAACATTCATACCTGCCTAGTGTGCATAGCCATAAGGTAAAATAATAAAGTATAGAATTCCCTCTCATTGGATGTTGCCAAGGAAATGTCATTTATTAAATTATCATTGTTATAGTACTGAAGATGCCATTAAGGCTGTAAGTGTTCAACTTTTATGATGAAATAACTGTTTAATTGTGACTCTATTTTATGCTTCTTGGAGTTGAGAACTAAACTTTTAATACATATTGTTTGTTTCCTTATATTTTCCATATTTATATCCTTAAGAGTAGCCAACTTTTCACTTTATTGAAATATAAATCTTTTTTTTTCAGGCATGTTTTATGGGCTATGAAGCTGCCATGAAGACATTGAATTATTTAGCACCAAATCTGTGATAGACGATTATTGTAGGTAGAATTATTATGTGTGTGCAGCAATCTGCAATTCTATTAAAACACTGCAGCCATTGAATCAGGTTTAATAATAACTGAATGATAGAATGAATGATTTTAATCGTAATAAAGGCAATGAAAATAAAATGAAATAGAGAGTCTAATTGAAGATAGTGTGGTTGGTTTATAAGCTTTTTTAAATGAAATTTAACAGAGGAAGATATGTAAACAAAAGAAAGAATTAGATTAGGGTATGTGTGATTTATCAGAACTTCTGTAATAATTATTTTTTTGCATTTCATGCTAGTACAGACCTGTATGTAAATTTGTTTATGATCACATTCTAATTAAATCTCCTTGTTGTATATTTCAACATGTATAGTTTTCTTATTCTTAAAATTGTATTTACAATAAATATTATTTACTTATTCGAAATCAAATATTTTTTTTTTATTAGAAAATTGTTCCAATATAAAATTATTGCAGACTGGCCAACGAAACTTTTTTTGTTTTAAATCATATAATATGCTGGTGTGTCACATTAATTTTGCCTTACATGACCAAAAGATTAATAAGAAATGTTGAGTGGTAAAGGGTGAAAAATGTTTTTATAAAGTTTTTAATTCAATGCAGACAACGGACTGAACACATTTGATTTTGAGATATATTTTTCTTCAAAGAGAAATCAATGTTTTGCTGACAAACATCTGCCTTTTGCATCAGACTTTGGTTGTTCTCAGTTCCTACTGGTTGGAAGTCAAGAATTTCACACCGGTTGATTATATGTGATCTCCTGAAGGTTTTTTCCCCCAAGTTTTAAATAGGACGCACTCAAAATTTAAATTTGAGAAATTGATCAATGATAGCTTTCGTGATAACTGATAGAACAAAACAAGTCAAAATAAAGAAATAAATGTAATTAGGCTATAATACATGATTTAAGTCAGATATATAAATGTTCTATAAGAGGCATCTTGTTACTCGATTAAATATTATCAGCAATAACTATACACTGTAATAGGATTTTTACATTTATTAATTTCCTATCTTGAAAGAAGTATAAAGTAGTCTATATCTAGATATAGCATTTAAGGTAATATTCGTCTGAATAGCTTTCAATTGGAACTTTGATATACAATGAAATAAAAGTATTTTTCATATTGAATGGTATCATACAACAAATATGTAATAACAGTATAACTTTTTTCGAGGATATCCCTTTGCCTCTTGCATTTAGACTAAATAAGGTTCTGCTAAAGAGTCATGTCATGTGATAATTTATGATGTTTAACATGAAAACATACTGTACAATTACAAATCTGAAATAGAATAAATTTTAATCAGCATGATCAACATATTATTAATTATATGAATGCAATGCCCCAAAATATAATCGTTATATTTTCATTCTACATCTTATGCAAAAAATTTGAGCTTATAATACAGTTGATAGGATACAATAGTATAATATTTTGACTGTTAAAATAAATAGTGTTCAATACATAAAATGTACAAATATTAGAACAGAAACTAAAAAAATGTTGTTACTCAGAGTTTCACAATAGATTTTGATTCATTTTAAAGTGATATATTGTTTTTTAAATAATAACTTTATAATTTGCCAAAAACTAAATTTCAGCAATCTGAATCATTTTTCATAAGGCTTTCTTCTACATCACTTATCATAAAAAAAAATGAAAACCAGTTTACTTACTTATTATATATTACATAAATTGATTAAGTTAAAAATGTTTTAAAAATTCTTCAGCACTGATTCTAGCTCTGGAATTGACAGCCAACTTCATTTCATTTATCTCTTTATCAATTTCCTCCATATATGTTATTAAGAAATCTACCAGTTTATGTTTGTACATTTGTTCTGAGTGGAAATTTGTGATAAGAAAACTTATGTTGTAACCCTGGAACATATTAAACTATAGTTAACAGGACAATCTTAACATCAATACTCAATTTCATTCCCTATTAATTGTCATTCCATCCATATTAATTGTCTTTCCGGTAACAAGGAGAAATTTAACTTTACAATGAAATTGATATAAGATATAGAATACAAATACAAATTACAGATAATGTTTCTGAGTTTTGAAATAAAAAAAATATGTTTTATTTGAAATAACAAAAGGTTTCTATCATACATCAACTGGTTTACGTCGTAAAATGAAAAAGTTTTCAGCTCTCATCATCATAAATCTCATAAATTTATGGCATAAAATTTTCTCTATTTCATCAGCCTATAATTAAAGACAGGTTGCAGAAGTTGAGAAGTAAGCTTTTGTGTGATTAAAGGAGCATAAATTTGAACTGAGACAGTGTACCAAAAAATCAGACGAAAAATCAGGACAATATTGTGCATTGTTACCACAAACTTGTCCAATTTACCTCTTAGCATACCAACCGCTGCTCATTTTAGAAATCTTAAGAGAAAATTGTAGACTGACCCACAGGGGTCACAACAAAATGAAAATGTATATATCTATATATACATATCTATATTTTTGTGAGTAAGAAATTTTCATTCATCATTGTTGCTTTCAGATTTGTGAAAATGATTGTTCTCTGTTTTAAAAATAATAAGAAAACCTTACTTGTTTGATGGCTATACTTATTCGTAATGAATTAATAGACCCTTCTATTAAAACTTTTTCTTTTTCGTTTCTACTAATAATAACAGGCTGTAATAATAACTCTTTACTCGATCTAAAAAATAGGTTTAGATCATCAATACACCCATGAATCAAGTGTCAAATAAGGCAACTTGCTGTAAGTATTTAGACTGTCTTACAGTCATTACTTTTTTTTATATAACTTTTCAACTGATAAATTAATAGAAAATCAACTCTGAAAGACCCACTGATTGTTTTTAATTACACAAAGTCAAGGAATAACTAAATTTGTCTAATACCTTTCCATCATAAGGTTTTCCTCATAAAAGTTGGTAAATGCAGCGGTTTGATTAAATTGTATTTTTGCAAATACAACCAATCAGAACCTTCAATAGAAAGTATGTAACCAATCGTCAGTCATTTCTTTAATAAAGTATCTGATTGGCTGTACATATATTTGCTTCTTACAAGGGAGATGAAAGGGATATTTTAAGCCTGTAGACAGGTGTCGTACAATATTTTAACAAGACAGCCAAATGACATCAAGGTATTAATTGGAATTTAAAAGAGTTTGACTAGGTTGAATAAAACAAACAGATAAAAAAAATTGATTCCATGATAGATCAAATAAATCTTATATGGAATTACAGAAGCGCTAGTTAAATTTCCTAATAAAACAGTAAACAACTTACTTCGTTTCTACTTCTGGTTTATTATGACGTTCTACAACTTGAGAGTCAAAATTTTGAACACACATAGCTGCTGTAACTGTATTGCGTACTGCATTTAAATAGGGTTTTAATGTAGCTGCCTGTAAAATAGAGAATTATTCCATCTAGCAATCTTCTCACCATTACCAGCTGATAATATGGGAATTTATGACAAAACCAGGTGTTTGCTGAGATAGGAGATTCATTCCTTTCATCATGAACTTCATGATCATGCCTTTATCATCAGAGTCAAATTTCATTAATAGGTAGCAAAACTACTCATGAATCTCAAACTTATTGGGGTACACTTTGTGTGACATTCACTACATTTTATGAATGAAGCTTGTACGGGTGCTATTAGTGTATCAGTTCTTCACTTTACGAGATACCTCTTAGAATACACAAAAGATAGTGGACCACAGCCATATACGCCCACCACGGCATGCGGATGATAAAAACGAAACATCCATTTTAAGTTTCATCAAAATCGGTTGAAAACTAAGAGAGTAATAGCATATTCAAGATAACTCTGCTTTTAACGGTCGAAAATAGCTCAATTTCTAACTTCGTATCATGAATATGTATGCAGATACCAAATTTCATTTGATTCCTTCAAACACTTTACTTTTTAGAGTGTTTCCGTGCAATTGATGTTGATAGAAGCACTTACTGTATAGAGGTTAAAGGGCGATAACTCCTCAAAACTGACGTAAGAGGCCTAAATCTTGAAAAAGCCTTAACTTTTATCAGAAGTAAACTTAACTTTCTCAAACCTTTCGATTTAGGTCCAATAACATCCATTTTAAGTTTCATCAAAATCGGTTGAAAACTAAGAGAGTCATAGCATGTTCAAGATTTTGGGGCAAAGGCAATAACTCTGCTTCTAACAGTCGAAAATAGCTCAAATTCGAACTTGATCTTCGTTTTATGAATATGTATACACATTCCATCAAAAAATATAGTTTTTAGAGCATTTACAAGCAAATGCTGACGGGCGGACGGACCGACAGGGGGGGCCAACAATATACGTCCATAAAGAGAGATGTGGGCGTACAAAACTTTAACTACTCAAACTTGGCCAATAAGAGCATATTAATCAGTGGACAAAAATATTTTCATATACAACATAATCCCTTTATAATCCAAAAATCTATTACTTAGTTTTATTGATTTATAAAAAGGTTCTGTTGTATATATAAGAACTTAAAAAATCAAATGAGTCTTACTACTGTCCTACTCTTTTGCACCTAATTTGGCAAATGAAGACAGGCAGCACCACGCAGTGTGCAATGAAGGAAATTTTGCCACGACAGCCACATTAGCCTAATATTTTTTCGATTTCCGCCTGTCTAAGGATCTTTAACATGGACAGTCTGTATCACATGGGGCCTTGGTTAAATATCCCATCCATGCATCTAAATGCAATTGCCATGTCAGTAGTAGGCCTACTGACAGTAGACCAAAACCTCTGCCACTATTCCAGCCTCCGATCTCTTTTTTGAAAGTTCACTTATTTATTTACCTAGATAGCATATAATCCCCCTACACCATTAATTGATCTCTCGTCGGTCATCTTAAAATGTGTGCAAAGCCAAAAGTTGGGGGGTCACAGAGACAGGCGATATTCAATATCTTTTCGGAAATTTTGAAAATCCTACATGAAACATGGCCTATTTTTTTTTATTACTGTCAAAATATCTATCAGAGGCTGGAATAGAGGCAGTGTTTTGGACTATAAATTATAATGACAGTGGTCAGCCCCTCCAATCTGTAGGCTTTATCACTGACGGGAAAACCGATTGAAAAAGCATTATTAACTTTAAGAATCTGCATTTATGCTTCACCATATCATTCTTAAATCTTCATCGAAAATGAATCTAATTTGCTATGAGTCTTGAGTGAGTCAGACTTCCTCTCGTGCAGTAAAGATTTGTAGCCAATGTAGGGTTGTGCCTTTATTTTAATTAAGGAAGAGGAAGTTGGAAATAATGCTTTCAAGAAACGCAAAATACTTTAAAATACAAATCAAAACGTAAGTTCTACTCCCTATAGACTGTTCCTTCATTTCCAGTGTCTAAACCCAAAAAGATAAAAAACAAAACAAATACTATGAAAATTTAGAAATTAAGAGAAAACACCCACCATCTTGTCAAGCTTTACCCGGAAGTGAGTTACGCTTGTGTAACACCACCTACCGGAATAAACTGAAAGTAAAATCTTGACAATCCGTAATACATGTATTATTATAGACATACATGTAATTTTAATAACGGCAATCATTTTCATATGAATTGAAATATCAACTACAAATCACTACTGAGAGTCTTGGTTTGCCTTTGGGTTGATGAAAATGTTAACCACTAGAAAAGTCAAAAAAAAAAAAAAAAAGTCATTTTTTGTAAACATCATATTACAGAGTCAGAGGGGAATTTTCAGTTGTCACTTGAATTTTCTAGAAGGGATGTGCGTCTATTTCAATTGTAAAATCACTGAACCTTATATTTCTATGGACCCGGATACATTCTAAGACAACTGGCATAACCTTGAAATATATTTTGTATATTTATGAAATGAGAGAAAAATTTCCATTTAAAACCCTAAGTAGTTCAAAATATTCCCTGACAAGCAATGAGGATATAATATGCTTCTCTCTCAAGAAAAATGGTATGCATCCCCAATTGTACCCCACTTTATTGGGCCGCGTTATGAATTTCAGCCATGACAGATGCCCCCTATTTGTACCCCGTTTTGAATTTCCAACCATTCAGGGATCTCTTACATGCACAGCCTGTAGTACACAGACCTCGTTTTTTGTCCCATTCGAACAACTAGACGCTTTAGCTGAATGGATTGTCATGATCCAAGGCTGGTTTATTCTCTATTTTCGTTCTGTCAAAACATGGATCCATGTATAACATTAATGTAACAAAATTTCAAAAGTAGACCTGTTTCCACTTTTCTGAAAAATGAAAATGTATTTTTAATATATTTTATTTGCTATTTGTTTCTATATACAATAATGTCTATTACATTACAATGTTTAAACATTCTTACTTACAATACAATATATGATAATAAATACATTAAAATTTTATTAACATTATAATGCCTACTAATTAATATTTATACAAAACATAATTTTTATCTGTTTGAATATTTACATAACATAAGTTTTTAACTAAATTTTATAAAATTAATTCGAAAGAGATAAAACTTAATTTGTAGAGTGCAAGTGCAATATACAAATATAGTGTATGCCCATTAGGATAATTAGGCTTGGACAATGTAAGCATAGTGATAATGTGGTTTAAACATAATTCCTTGTCAGTCTAATGTCAGAGACTTTGATAGGCTTAAAATACTGTTCTATTGGTTAATATGAAACCAGCCACTATATAGCAGTAAATAATGATTCTTCACAAAACTTCAATTGCCAGATTTTACCAGCATATTCATCAAAATCATCTTTACCAAGCAATGCTACCAATTTGGGCTAAAACAAAACAAAATAGGAATTAACATTGAACAGCACATAACGTGAAAGAAACAAAGAGTGGTTTCAAGAAAAAAAAAATGTCAAGAAATGTTTTGCACTTCAAAAAGAAAACTTAATATTTATTAGATTATTGTAGATTAATGGTATTGTATTTTATGTTCAAAACTAAGTACAAACTATGTAAACTCTGCCTTATCATTTAGCAGATTTCTTTATTGATCTCGACAGGTTTCTATGAACTTCCTCTCTCTTAATACTGCAATATAGCTTAAATTTAAAGCTAGTACTAATATGAATACAGGAGAAATGTATCACATAAATATAAAACCTTTTAGACTTACTTCAACTTCATCATCTTCTATGTTATTTAAAATATCATAGGCTCTTTTTAATCTTTCTACACCTACTCCCTTTACACAATCACTGTTAAAAAACAAAATATAATCAATATAATCATAACATCCTATTCGAAGTTTGAAACAAATTTGGTGGCTACATAACATATGATTTTGCTGTTATATTACCGACGGTAATTTACCGTGAGCAATCAAACTTTTATATTCGACATTGATTCTCTCTAATTGACTTGAACTCTCAACATGACAAAATCCTGACCAGGCCAGCTTCTTTGTAAAGAACAACTGGTGTTCAAAGGAACTAGCCTAAATGTAGTGAAATAATCTATGACTATTCAACCTACGTATGTAAAAGTTGTATTCTTTGCATCAATCTGGATGTATCAGCTAAAGTTTCAATACTTGGCATTGAGACAGATTTAGGTATGGTATTATCTAGATAATTATTATCTGATTGTTGTAAGTTGTCACTGTTAGACTTTGGTTCATCAAATATATCTTCTTCAATCTCCTCTATAGGTTTTAATGTTTCTTCTTCTATAGTAGCTTCATCATCAGACTTATCATCACCAACTTTTTCTTGATGTAATGTTGTATTTAATAAACTAATAAAATTATTCATTTCTTTACTTTCTCTGCAATGTAAGTTTATGCATCACTTCAAAATAAAATATATTAACTTTATGAAAACAACCAATAACAATGTCAGTGACATCAAAGAAAACTTACACTTTATACTAAAGATTCTGTAGAAAGTAGAGTTTTATAGACAGTGGTCCATTTATGAGAGAAACATTGAAGTTGATTATCTTTAAGGTGATAAACCGTTCATATTTATATATTGCATCTAGTCCAGAGGGTCATGGTGATACAACTGATGCAGATTAAGTGATAGGCATGCAAGGTGAGAAAATTTCTTAAACAGTTTAATATAACAAACTCTTGGTGAAAATAGGGTCAGAAAGGTTAACAATAGATAGGAATTGTGACTAATGTGGGTACTTAAGTTAAATGTGGATTTTATCATGGCATTTAAGAAATGAAAAGGGATCAGCAAACCTTTTTAGCACAATTTGTGGGTAATTTACACAACATATGAATGTTTTTGCAGTTACACAAGGATTTTGCAAACATAGTGTTTTGTCATACAAACTATAGATAGATAGTTTCAAGCTCAATTCATGAAGAGCATAAAAAACTTTTTTCAATATTTCTTGCAGAACTTAAACAGCAGAAATTTTCTTTATTCTAAATTTGCATCCTTTCAAAAATGCCATCTAAAATAAACAGCTTAGCAAAAGAGAAACACACAGAGAAGTGTTATGAGCATGTGATGTAATATGAATATTAAGTATGTCATGAATATTTAGTAGCCTGCACGTGCATGCTTGGCGTGCGGGACTGTTGTAGCGTCACTTCATGTGTGGCCACCATAATGTGTGGACGTGTTCCACTGGAATAAATATATGAACAATAATGTGTTGTATATGACTTTAACACAGAGAACATTAATTAGGCCCTGTACACAGCAGTTCAAAATTGATCAAAATTATATCTTTTATTATACAAATAATGTTCTGATCATCCCAGCAAATCATATCTTAAAGAATCAATGAAGAATTAGAGATTTTAATGTGGGAGTATAAAAATTGAAGCCTGAGGACAGGTTTTGGGACACAAGGTAAACGAAAATAAAATAATGATCAAATTCTCCCTTATTGGCCATTTAAAAGGCATGCAGGTAGGCCTACAGGGTAAATTTCAGCATCTTCATGCAAGTAACTTTCCATCACCATCAGATTGAAAACAATATAGATTGTGATATACCTATTGGCAGGGTGACAAGCACAAACATCTTGTGATTCAGTATCTATAACATAAGTTTGATATCTACAACAATAAACAGATTCTAGTCAGACTTTTCAGTGAAATATCAGGGAGTCTTAATTCTACACACAAAATACAGTCTTCAGCACAATATTCATTTATATTTTCTCTTTGTTTAACAACATTAAGCCACAGACAACACTGTTTGTAACTGTCAGATCCAATTCAAAATATGAAAAAAGATAGCTTGCCAGACAAGATAACATATGCCCAATGGCAGCTTTAATTTTAAATAAAAATATATTATATATATATTTTTTTGATTTTTCTTATTTTCGATAGGGTTCTTACTTGGGTGATTACAAACACTCACATCAAGTTTCGTCAAAATCTGTCGAGAATCGTGCCTTCTAGAGTGTTTAAGCGCTAGAAATTGAACGCATTTTCAAGAACAAAGGCAATAACTCATACTAAATAATTTTCTGAATTTCAATAGGGTTTATTCTTCAATGATAACGAACACCCACACCAAGTTATGTCAAAATCAGTTAAGAATTGTGCTTTATAGAGTGTTTACGAGCAATTGCGGACAGATGGACGGACATGGGTGAAGACAATGTACGCCCCCAAATTCATGTGGGCCTATAAAAATCTGGCCTTTCCCTCTAAACTAGTATATGATATTAAAGCTGTTTTCTAGATTTTTTTGTGTGTATTGGGCCATTTAAAGGTTCTATTTGCCTCATTCCAATTTTCATTCAGATTATTGAGGTTCCTGTAATTGTATAATTCTTTAACACCACTATTGCATAAGCTGCTAATGAACCTCTAAGATTGCTAAGACATAAAAACCAATAACATCTGAAAAAATTGGAATTGTGCACATTGAAGCTAACAGTGTCCATAATACACATTAAAACAGTTTAAAGAATTTCTTTACAATACCTTTAAGTAGTGTGATAATTAAAAATTGAAAAGTATAAAGGTGATTGTGTAAGAAGAGATAGTAGAATAGATACAGATTTAAAGAAACAGAATATGTGAAATAAATCAATATTTGCTTTCATAAAAATTATCAGGATGTTTTAAGATTGACTTTGTGATTGGAGCAACTAGATTTCAAAGAGTGCAACCAACTGGCAATCTGTTCAAATTGCTAAATCTAGTCTACCTTAGCACACCATTGACATTATCATACTTTGTAAGCAAATTTAAATTTAGTCAGCAATCTGACTAGTTGGAAAATCATTTTGCAATTACAACAACAAAATTTATCTTGATGAATGTGAATCAGCAGTTGACATGAGAAATGTTGATTTTTTATGTTTTAAAGATACAATTTAAAACAAATAAGTGAGAGGTTTGTTGCTAACCTTCTTTTAGCCTGTTCTTTACTATCTTGTTTTGGTTGTAATTCTTCTGATGATGAACTAGTATCATCATTAATAGAGGGCTGTCTGATTGGTTTCTTCATTATAGGATGTATAGCTCTAACTGGTTCAGTCTACAAATATTTCAAATCTTATTATTATACAATCAAATTATAGTTTGAGTTTGTATTGTGATTTGTGATGTTATTAAATCTCATTACATTACTTCTGAATTTTTAGTGCACTGCCAAAGTTTTGAAAATCATCTATTTCCATAATAATTCCAAAAATAAACAAATACCTTGTTGGATTTTGCTACACAAACTACACTTTTGGAATGTTTAAGCTTAAAGGGCATGTATCACCATTTTCAGACTTTCCAAGTTTTTTGGCACTTAGAACTAAGATTCCTTGGTCACTGAGGTGTATGATTTACTTACACTATCAGCTTTCTCTGATCTTGTTATACGTTCTGATCCATGTCTTTCTGGTAATTTTCGCAATCTTATTCTAGCTGAATTTGGATTTTCAGCAGCTGAAGAAAAGCAAAATAAGTGTATTGTGTTTAAGTTACTTACCTTAAAGCTTATATCAGCATATATAAGAAGTGAAGAAAGCTCAACATGTTAAAGTCTATATTCATTTGATCATAAATTTAGATAATGAAAATATACTGACACATTGAGGCTGGGTTTTTCTGTCTCCTTCTTTCTCTAGCTGATAGATTTGGTAAACTCTGAAATAAAGATGATAGAAAGTTTATTATGCAGGCTATAATTGTTTCTCGCTTCATTTTGACCAAAGCACATAAAAAAAAACCATCACATTACCCTTGGAGTTGGTTCAACATCACCATCTTCTTTAGAACTAGATATACTGGATGATCTGGATGAAGAATCACTAGATTTAGCTTTGCTTCTGTTATCTTCTCGTTGTTTAGGTATGTTACCATCTTCCTCTATCTTAATTGGTGGCTTAGGTAAAGGACGGTGTCTAGCAACTGGTTTTGGCTGTAAAATTGTCATTAGAATTTGAATAAAACGAGTCAAATGTTAGTGAACGAATTTTCATAAATGAGTCATCAAAGCCATATTATTTGTACAAGATAAAAGAACACAAGCTTTTATCAAAATACCGGTAGAAAAATTTTATAAAGTGCAATATAACTAGTAGATGCTTACATTATCAAAAATAGTTTTACTAGATTTACTACTACATATAGAATCCACTTCACTTTTATCATCATCTAAACTATCACCTCTATTCTTTATATGATTTCTTAAAAACTTCTTCTTCTTAACATCTTTCTTAGGACAGACTACAGACTACAATAGACAAACAAAAACTACAAATAACAAAACCAGTCTACATGAAATATGAAAGTTCTCCTTTATTAAACATGTACAAGGTACTTTATTTGCTTATTTAGCAATGGCTATATTAAATCAGATAGGGTCTAGAAAATGAACTATACCTGTTGACTATCATCTTCATCTTTTAAAGTAGATTGAGCATCACTGCAATCTCCTGAGTTTCTTAATGATGGTATACTATCTTTAGATGATCTTATATCACTATTACTATCTAAATCTGTATCTGATCTTGATGATTTCCTTGACCTACTGCCTGGTCTCATTTCACTTGATCTTGATTCAACACTTACACTGTCAGGAAAATCTTGACCACCTGGCAATGATTTCTCTACTGGTGTCTTAGATGGTGAGGTCTGATGTGGCGGGGACTTCTTATTTAACTGTGGTGACTGTCTAGATTGTGGTGATATTTGTCTTGAATGCAGTTGTCTTGGTGGTGATCTTGATGGATCTATATGAACTTGTGAGCTATGCACAGGTTCCTGTACAGACTGTCTACTATGCGAAGATGAAGGTCTATGTTGTGATGGTACTACAGGATCAGTGCTTGGTGACAATGAAATGATATTAGGTGATGGGGAGGCATGAGAAGGTGCTGAGGAAACATTTGAAGCAACTGATCGACTGGATGATGCAGAACTTGGTCTACTTCTACTAGCACTAGATGGACGGCGACTGAAATATTACAAAAATTTGTATATATAATTATGTTTCAACTTGTCAAGTACACAAAGAAGACCTACAACCTATGCTGAAACATCAAACACTCTTTAAGTAACTTGCTTCTATAATTTATTGTAATAGGAACATTATATAGCAAATTTACATTTCACATTTCATCAGTTCTTTGGTACACAAAACCATGTTTACACTGACCTTTTTTTTGTATCTTCTAAAAATATGGCAATATTTTTCTTGATATATGGTTCTCGTAATATTTTATTGACACTAGGTCTTTTGTCAGCATCTTGATGTAACATACATCGTATCAAACCTAATAATTCAACACTATACTTCTTCGGCATTAAAGGCATCTGAAAAATAAATATGAAACATATTTCAAATATGTAATACCTTGAATTGCTTGTTGATGATTTTGCAGTGACAATATAAACTAAGCATAAGTATTAAACTAATCTAGATATGAAAAAAAAGTTAGACCTCGCTAGGCAGAAGCTTAAGATTACATTTATTTACTACTTACCTTTCCTTTTAATATTTTGTACACTAAAGCATTCATATCTTTCGCATTAAATGCATGTTTTAATGTAGCCATCTCATAAACACAGCATCCTAATGCCCATACATCAGACTGAAACAAAATTCATATTTAAAAACGTTGTAAATTAAACCTGAAAATAGTTCTAGAATATGCTTTTTATATCTATGTATCTACTTGATCAAACTGAATTTTTTTAAATGGGTTAATTCAAAATTGAGAGTACTAATTATCAATTAAGCAGTTTGACCCAGTTTCAGTGATTTGGAGACATATTTCTCTACTTATATTTTACTCAAATTTGTACAGTAGTTTACTAACAGCACGCAAAAAGCATAACAAACTTATAAAGGTTACGTAACCTATTACAAAAAGTTTTGGCGTTAAAAAAATTAATGGCTAAATTTTTTAAGTTAAAACTTTCATATACGTTATGGGATACATTTATATAGATTTTGGTTTGTCCCTTTTACATGAATAAATGACCAGGGAAAGCAACTACTAAACCTAAAACGAACCTCACATAAAGAATATTTTCAATACTTGCTATACAGACAGATTTATCTGATATTGTGCAAATGATGTGTTCTATCGTTACAAAAGAGTTTTAAAGATTACCTTGTGGTTATATGCCTTATTTGAAAATAATTCTGGACTCATATAATAAGGTGTACCAATTAATGTTGTAGCCATATCATTGGAGCTGTCTAATACTCGAGCAATGCCTAAATCACCTACTTTGATAATCTTACTCTTTGTTAAAAATATATTCTGTGTTTTCAAGTCTCGGTGTAGGATATTTCTTTCATGGAGATACTGAAGGTAAAAAAAAAATATCTGAAACAAACATCTATTTTATAAACAGTACTGTAATACTTAAGGAATGAATGTGGATCTTGTTATCGTTATGGGGAAATAAACGCTGGTTTATCATGTGACAAGACAAATGACCCGGCGAAGCGGGTCATGTACGCCTTGTGGAAATAAACACTGGTTTATCATGTGACAAGACAAATGACCCGGCGAAGCGGGTCATGTACGTCTTGTCACAAGATAAACCAGCGTTTATTTCCCTATAACGATAACAAGATCCACATTCATTCCTTATATTTACATTGGTTTATCTTTTCTGCTAAAATACGCCAAAATGTTCTTTAATTGTAAAAATACCCGAAACCGTTGTTGCTTAATTCACCGATATCTGTCAATCAAGTTCATCTCCCCGCCCCTAACAATATAGTTCTATAAATCAACAGTCTTATTTGGATGATAGAATTATCAAATATTTATTATTCCATTGAAATATTAACAACAATTGTAAATTTAAATAAATTGTAAAATTTGATAGCTAAAAGAACTTGGGTCAATCCTTGTTTTCGTTTTCGATGTATTCATACTCCTTATTGTCACATGACAAACTACAGTTATTGGAAAATAAACGCTGGTTTGTCTAACTGGTTTATTGAGTGAGTGATAGTAGAAATGTAAATATTTGTTGATAAAGCAATTTTCTGTCTCTCCTTCAGGATCGTTTGAGATAAAAACATACAGAGCAAAGTCTGCCAGTTATTCCATACCAAAACTAAAGAATCTTAAACTGGCTACAAATATCATCCATCATCTTTCAGTTGCCATGTTTCTATTATCTATAAAAATGATTACCTGTAAAGCCATAGCTATCTGAATGAACCATTCTACAACTTGCCGTTCTTCTAATGGAACACCCTTCTGTTCCTTTAATTTATTATATAAATCACCACCTTCACAGTACTGCATAGCTATATACAAATATCCATTTCCAGTTTCAAATGAATCTTTATATGACACAATATTAGGATGTTTTAATTTAGATAATAATTTAGCTTCCTGTTCAGCTGATTTTCTTTCCCTCTTTGATGCTCTTGATAGATTCATCTTTTTCAATACATACTACAAACAAATCAAGTCACATGTTTTAAATTCATAAAACTCAATATAAAATAAGGACGATTGTTTTTTTGCACTAAAAAATAGCTTCGGACACAGGGTAATATACATCCTCAACAAGTCAAGACATCATATTGTTTTGTAAAATAGTCAATTGTGACTTTACAAATCTATTGTGCTGTGTATAGACAACTCTTATTTTGATGTTATTTAACTAGGTTATGGACAATAACTCAAAAGAAGATCATTGAAACATCCTATTGTTATATATATAATATCATGGATAGTACAGATCCAAGGAGAGGAACAACCGCAATATACACCCACCCTTGGATATACAAAAGATATCAAGAACAGAAATTGAAATGAAATGAATGGAGTTTGATGTCCTAATATCAGAAACGGAGATTCACTGAGTCAAGAGAATACTTTTTTTTTTCTAGTCTCATGATGATCTTCAAATCTTATTTTGCCTTTCAAATATTAATAAGAAAGATTATACTATCCAGACAATGCTATTGGTGACTAAAGTTGTAGAAAACTATGATGCTTTGACAGAATGAAGATATGAGGCTTTTGATTATGAAACTTATGTCAATGTAAAATTTTATTCAACCAACATTAAAATAGCAAGATGACATTTCTTTTAGAATCTAAAATACGACCAGCAAAATTTAAATTTATAATAAATGTTCAGTACCTGCTTTTTTCTGTCATTCTTGTAAGTGGCCAACCATACTTCTCCATAACTCCCCTTTCCAATAACCTTTAATCTTGTAAAATCTTCTAAACTCATTTTTCTATTTATTAGATTAACATAACATTTCACGGCTGATCAGTCAATCTCATCATCTTCAGAATGATTCTTTACTCTCCATTATCTGTAAAGTAATATACTACTAACAAAAATAGCTTGGCAAAGTGAAAAAGCTCCATGGCAGCTGTTAATGATTCTCACAGTAAAAAAAATGCATAAAATATTATTTCCAATCAAATCAAATTCCCATTCTCAACTTCCAAATAGTTCGATATCTCATCAATCTATACTAATAAGCTTTCCAAATCGGTTTCAAATCTTCCTTTGCAAAACAACCTAATAGATAAAGCCTCAATCTAATAAATAAAATATGATGCTGGTACTCAATATTAATTATTTACAAACTTCGAACCAACATCTTGCAGTACTGTAACAAAATAAACAGTTCAGATTTCAGATTATCATTTCTTATTATGTTGTCTAATGCTACAGGATAGTATATATTATAAACAGTCACCAAGTTAATTTTTTTTATTAGGCCTATTAATAAAGAATTTGAGTGTGTTTATTTCAAAGGCATGTAGTGGTTTCCCCCTTTACAAGTTCCTCCCTAGTGGGTTTTCCGCCAGTGGTTTCTGCCTCTTTTTAATCCTAGTGGTTTCCACCTCCATTTTAAGTGGTTTTCTCCCCTAATTAATTTGTAATAAACTAATTAAAAACATGTTAATCTCTATCAATTATTGTGATGGATTAACATAATATCAGGAAGCCATTGGAATAAATTGCTGTGTTATTCTTAATGAGAGATAGGTAATCTGTTGGTAGTATATCCATAATAGTAACATTTTATCTAACTCTATTCAAATTTGACTTGACTTGACTTTGTGTTCAAATTGCAATATACTTTTAAGACCAAGGCATGCCATGATTTGAGGTGAAAAAAGATGTCATGTGATACGTCGGAAATGTGATACAGGTGTATGAATAGTTATTTATCTTATATACTTTCAATATTATCTGCATTATTAATTTGCAACAAAATTGAATCTTTTCATTAAATTGTTTAATTCATCACGAATCAGAGATTAGGTGGTTGAAAGATAACAAGTTATTCTTCAACAGAAGTCACTGTCACAAGATAAAGTACTTCTTACATAGATAGACCTGTCACAAATTAGAGTGAGGTGAGAGACTATGTGAAGGTACCTTCTTTCATACACCTTAAATAATCTTTTAATCACTTTATTTCAATAATTTAAAGTTATCAACTTTTTTAATTGGGTACCGTAATCATCATCTTTTAATGCTAGTTTTTAAGAATTATAATAGTTATTTTATTAAATAAGTTCATGAATCCATTTAGAATAACAAAACAAACAAAAAACAATTCAGAAAATACATTGGATGGAGAGTTGGTTAAAGTCAAAGGCATTTAAATCATACATAACTCAATCATGAAACGCCTAATGGACATTGCCAAGCCATAATTACATCGGCCTACACTCAATTATACATGGTTCCAATAAAACAAACTGACAAGTTTCATGTTTCTGACAAGTCAAAATCGATTGGACCAACAACGAGTGTCAATTCATGAAAGCCAAATGTATTCAATCTCACGTTTAAAATTGTCCCGGCACTAGTTCAATCCGTGTTTTAAATCCAAATTCTTTGTTTCAATCGGTAAATGGTAACAAAATTCCTGAGCAAAATATTTCGTTGCCACCGATGCTGTCAGCCATGAAAATAAAACATTGCATGTTGGGATAGTTTCAAACCTATTCAATTTCTTTTTGTAGAAAACTCTTCAAGGGAAGTTATTATTGCAACATCATCAATAAGTCAGACTACATATAAATTTTCAAATGATAAGTCCAAGAAAGCAATATAGAAACAACTATATTTTACAAGGATAGCAATTTAGGTTCACAATAGATCCTTTCTACCAGCTGACCCTGGTCCAACTCTCTTGGTATTTATATTTCCCAGATTACCCATATGGCACTTACAGCTGGGTTGACTGGCATTATGAGTGAAAATGACTTATACAAGGTCATTCGACTTTCACACGCTAATGAGATTTAAACCCACAGCCGCCATTTGCTTGAAGTAACGAAGCAAATGACATCATGTAAAGAACCAATGCTCTAACCGACTGTGCTATAGAACCTCACAAATCAACATCTGTTAGCAAAGCTGAATAAGTCCATTAATAGTTTTCTATCCATCTAGGCTTAAGGTCCTACTTGAAAATAAAATAAAACACAGCAAAAATTACTTTTAATTGAAATATAAATACATGTATAACAATGATTTAAACAATAATTGAAAATATATGAGAAAATTTACGGAAGCGTATTAGGGCCATTCATTTTTTTTTTTTTGAATTTTCAAGTTAGTATGTTGAATTTTCAAGTTAGTATGTTGAATTTTCAAGTTAGTAACTCGAATTTTCAAGTTAGTTACTTGAATTTTCAAGTTAGTATCTTGAATTTTCAAGCTAGTATGTTGAATTTTCAAGCTAGTATGTTGAATTTTCAATGTTAGTATGTTGAATTTTCAATGTTAGTATGTTGAATTTTCAAGTTAGTATCTTGAATTTTCAAGTCGGTATCTTGAATTTTCAAGTTGGTATCTTGAATTTAGTAATTTGAAAATTCAACATACTAACTTGAAAATTCAAGTTACTAACTTGAAAATTCAACATACTAACTTGAAAATTCAAGTTACTAATTCAACATACTAACTTGAAAATTCAACATAGTAACTTGAACATACTAACTTGAAAATTCAACATACTAGCTTGAAAATTCAAGTTACTAACTTGAAAATTCAACATACTACCTTGAAAATTCAACATACTAACTTGAAAATTCAACATACTAACTTGAAAATTCAACATACTAACTTGAAAATTCAAAAAAAAAAAATGAATGGCCCTAATACGCTTCCGTAAAAATTACATGTATATGACTAATATTTCTATAAATTATGATACCCTGGTAAAGAAAAACCGTGTTTAAACGTTTATCACATCTATGCAAATACTAGAGTGTGGAAACAGACATACAAAATATTGTTCAAGTATTGGTTTCAAGTGTGGTATACGTCATTAACCTTTAAACAAAATACCTGAATAATGTGCAAACCACTTTTTCAATGAATTCTATTTTCACTTTCTAGCTTGATTTTGAAGCAAAGATAGCCAAAGGCATCTTAAAATTCATTGACTTCCATAGACAACTATTGACTGGACAATGAAAAGCTGAAAATTGTTTGGATACTCCCTTTTAAATTTACTATTAGTCTTTAAATGTTTGATTTAGCCCTGTTTGTTTTTCTTCCCCTGAGAGTCTAAATAAGATAATATAATCTCTTCATCTTCAATAACAAATAGTTACTTCAACAAAAACTTATCCCTAGGCTACAGTTTATCATTGTACCACAGTTTTAGACTTTCACAATGTTCATTAATATTGTCTTGATTAGGATATACCATTTCATTGTTCACTATTTTCAGCTTTAACATACCACACCTCATTTCTTCTACTGAACATTTTAAACGGACTATCATAACCAGCAGTAAACCAATAGGATTGATTTAAAGGTTTATCTTTTAGATCTTTAGCTAATTCTTGACTGTTAGTTAACCAATCATCATCCTTAGCAAAACCACCAAATGTTCTACAATACATAATATAAATCATCAATCAACAAAACACACAGGGCATTAACTTTCGAATCTAGCTTAGATAAAATCAGGTATGCCTACAATTGAACAATGTTTTGGAAATGAAATGAAACGAATGGAGTTTTACGTTCTACTTTTCTGCACCATGTGCGCTAATGAAGACCGGCAACGCCATGAAGGTTCACTAAGGGAAATTTTGCCAGGACAGCCACATTAGCCCGTTCTTTTTCGATTTCCAACTGTCGAGGGATCTTTAACGTGCACAGCCTGTAGAACACAGGGCCTCAGTTTACTGTCCCATCTGAACGACTAGATGCTTTTTCAATGTCAGCCCCTCTCACCTGCATCACTGACAAGGGGAAACCGGATTGAAAAATCTGATAGTATTATCTCAACCTATGCCGGGATTGAACCTTGGACCTTCTGTTTCGGAGATCAAAGGCAATGATAGGCTAAGTCTACTTACTTTCTTAATTGCTACTGGGTTAATACTCAGGTACTAAAGAATTTACATTTCTCCAGAAATTAAACAGAGGTGTACCATGGATGCTTAGAGTGTTGGATGTTATTACTGGTAACATTCTAATTTTAGATATTAAAAATACTTTGACTTAACAACTGCTAGAATGATAAATACAAGCCTGCATTGATGATAAAATTATTTACCTTGCATAAATAGTCTGAGCTGGCCATGAATCAATAAAAACATCTTTATCTGTTGGTTCAGGAGGGTTAGCTGCATTTTCAGGAGGTATAAAGAAGGAAACAGTAAAGGTATTTTCACAATTGGGACCTGCCCCTGGTACTACCTTAGTTGGCACTGGTGATGTCATCTCTATCTTTACACCTGAAAATCATAATACTACTGTCTAGTTTACATCATAACAATAAATTGTAGTTGTAATGTTAGCTTATTTCAATCTAACCCTTTTTCAAGCAGCTAGAATAGACAAAATTTGTTTTACTTACATCAAATCTTTTATACAAATAATTTTATTCTCCTTGAATGTGAGCAACAAAGATAACAATATTAAAGCATCAAATACATTTTAACCAAATTAACATACCTGATTTGTTTGCACCTTGAATATAATTAAATAATCTTCGGAAACCTTTACTGGTAGCTTCCTTTAATACCATACCCTGAATACTTGTACTAACCCATTTAGTTTCAGGATATTGTCTTTCTTCATATGGTGGTGACGGTGCCTTGAATATAATACAAAACATATCATCTATATATACTATTGACAAAACTTTTAAAAAATATTCCAGTTGAATGTAAAAACACATTTTATGAAAAACTGCAACTTCTGGTTGATTTTTATTAAATTATATTACATCACTGGATGTGCATCTAGACACCATTTAAGTCACAATCTAATTAAATTTCAGGTATTTCTAGGGTAGGTGTTATCTTCTTCTATATAAATGACCTCAAATGGTAATAATAGCTAGTTGTGTGAAATTCCAGCTAAGTTACTAGCATCGTGTCCAAACCAAGCCACTATTCATCATACTTCAAAACTGTGGTAATACATGTGAACAAAATAACTAAATATTGTCCAATCAAAATTGGCTCTGCTGTCTTCATAGTCAAATCAGCCAATCAGAACAAATCATTCATTATGACGTTTTGTTTGCGAACGTAAACAAAATAAAACCAGCATGTCATTAAATGTTTTGATTTATATTAACGGTACGGAATTAAGTAAGATTTTCACTAAAGATTTGAAGAAAAGAGAAAGTCAAACCTTTCTTTGGAATATTTGCTTGAATAGAATGTGTTCTTATATGTTCAAACTGGAGGCGGAAAAGCGATTTTGTGTTTTGTTTACATGACCTCATTTCCGACCTACCAATCTGATTGGTCAGATTTAAATAGCACCATTTCCTCGCCCAAAAACTGAAGTGTAGTGGACTTAGTTTAATATGGGTTAATAAGACCATGTCAAAACCTGTATGCGTGATACGATGTGTTGCTAACTAAATATAATACTCACTGAATCCTCAGTCTTATTTAACACAGTATATTCAGGCATATCTAAACCTTTAGAGGTAAATGCTGTTTTAATTGCCGTAAACATTCTGGTAGGTGTAGAATTCTAAAAAAAAGAATGATATTGTTGTATTTGTTTGAATGGTATAAGATAGGTATGTAATGTATATTGACTATGTTTACAATGACTGCAATACACCTGGATAGCTTATAATCAAGATTCTTGCATATTTTTCATGCCAGAAATTGTTAAGTCAGTTATATATCATATTGTTATTGATTTTGTCATAATTCAGCTTTAGATATTTAGTTTCAATTAGAAGCAAAATAAGTAAACTGAATGTTTTTAGCATCAAAATATGATAATTTAAACTGTGAGTGGAAACATATTATTCTCCATAATGTCTTCAGATTTTGAGCGAAAAACCATCAGAAAAAAAAGTGAAATAAATAATATACTAAATATAATATATTAAATATAGCATAAGGTCTACTTACTATTTTACTCCTTACTGTTTTAGAGATCAGAAGTGTTGAAGTTGTTTTACTGGCTACTATATTGTGGAACACTATATCATACATGTAAATGTACTATATTATCTGAAAATTGAATACATTGATTGGTCTTTATATATATCGTGGTTGTGTAACAGATTTTTTCTGTTGCATAAACTAATCAAATATCCACGCCGTACCCACACAAATATTCATGACCTAAATGTCAATGTGGACCAAACAGTTCTATCAGTGTACTGGCCACAACACAAAATAAATATTTATATAACTGATCAATTCTTATGTCAACAAACCAATCATGTCTACTGACCTATAGCCATGTTATATAAATGGGTTTTTCTTTTTATCATTAGATGGACTCAAATATTTCTAAATCATGTTTATTTATTTTTTCTGTGGGTGACTTCACATGCCAGCCATGTCATGTCAATACCCCGGAAACGTCACTGTTTGGCTCATTTCATGTTCACTAATCACAAAATACTCTATTTCATAATTCCTTGGAGGATTTTCCTTCTACATGCATATCAGATAATTTATATCAGATAAAGCTTACTCATTAAATTTCAAAATAATTTTAGAAAAAAACTAAAAAGTCACATTTTTAAGTAGACAAATATGATTGGACAGGAAAATTTGGGAATAAGCATTGTGACAGTCATCAGATAAAACAATAATGTTCTCTTGCGAACAAAGTTAAAAAGACAATCTGTGAAAACAAAAAAACACTGACACTCGTTTTACTAAGCCTGTCCAAATCATCCCTATTTCACTAAGTTAACTGAGATAAGGATGAAGAACAAGGTCTATAGAGTTTACAATTATATGGTTAAAGAAATGATTGAATCTGTTTATCAACACAAATGCATAAGCTTTATCAATCAAAAGCTATCTTTTTTTAAGCAGATATTCTTTAAGTCACACACAAGACTTATTGTCTATGCAAGTTGAAAAGTTTTTTTTTTTCGAATTGGAATATCAGCCTTAAAATAGTACTGATAGTTATGAAAAGAAACACATTTCTCTCTTAGAAATTTCAACCCAAAAAGTCACACATTTTGGCTGAAAATTGTCCTCTGTAAAAACAAATTTTGAAGACATACAATGTGTGCTTTTGTTTATATTTTTATCAAGAAAAGACATTCTAAAACTAACAGTACTATTTTAAGGCTGATATTCCAATTCGTATAAAAATAATGGAAAAAATTCAAAAAACTTTTTACTGTGCTCAAGACATTAGTTAATTACAACCTCAACCGTACTGTCACTGAAAGATAATTATATTCTTACTAACAATACATAACGACTTACAAATTGGATAGGCTTAGGATTTACATAAATTTACATAGCTTATATCGATGACAAAATTTAAAAGGTAAAAAGGTAGGCCGCATAAGTTATAAAACTCTTATATAAAGTATCATCCGGTTATCCAGACATGTCTTTTGATAGAGGTTTGCTTAAGGCCCTACAGAAGTCTGGAGAATCGTCACAAAAACAATAAAGATAAAGGGAAAGTAGAAAGCAAACATGAACCTTTCGACGAAAGTTTCGTCTTTTGTCCAAACGAAACGTCAAAGTCATGCGACTTTAAGCAAAATACAAATAATTTATTTTAATGCTTTTCAGTAAAATGACGTATCTGAAAGCTCACATGTGAAATAGGCGTGTTCGGACGGATAGGGTCTGTTGGACGGATCTTGAAGAAACAATTAGACGTACGTACGGTACACGTGAGGTCATGAACTTTACTAGGAAAGTCTAATGTGAAATGGTGGGGTAAAGCTATATAGTTTCTAATGTTGTAGTTCAATGTATTGTCATCGTAATAGTAGTATTACGATTTTAAGTACCTACAGTTATACACTGTAAACACCTATTATTTTTGTTCCAAAGTAATGTATAGTTTTCAAAGGCAACGTAACCGTTTAATTCTCACCACCCTTGATGGTTATAAGCTCGACCACTTAGAACTATTACATAAATAAACAAGTTCAGTGTTTGTCATCTACTTGTTTGTCAATGGACAGGTATCAACTGCAGTGAAAATGAAGGTGACAATCTACCTATGTATATATCTGGTAAATGTTTGTACAGCATCACTGGCCAGTTTACTCAAGGGTTCTGGAGCCAGTGGAGGTCTTGAAAAAATACTTCGAGACAGTGGACTCAGCAAGTTTCAAGTAGCTCAAAAGTAAGTAGTCTATCTACCAAGCTTAGGTCCTAAGGAGGTCACATTGGGTTTGCTGTAGCAGAATAATAAAGCTTTTAGGAAAATGCATGATTCTATATTCAGTCCTAACTTTTACTACCAAAAAAAGAGTATTCTGTACTGCCCATGGTCCACTGACTATAATTAGTTGGTATGTCTACTGTAAACAATATGTCATCAGGTCTTAACACCACAATAAATCTGCCCAATTAAAGATTCAAAATTTAGTTCTGTTATGTTTGACCAGTATCATATTACATACATACACATCTTTATGACCTCTCTTATAATAACTTTTCTTATTGACCTTCATTCAACTTTTTGTAGTACCATTCCATAAACTCATTGGTTTCTTTTGTATCTTGTTTTAAAATAATCCAATAACTTTTTTTTCAACTGGTGGGGCATCAGCACTTGCAAATTGGCATACGACAGATTTTGAAAATAATATGAGCAAACTGTGAAAAAAAAGGAAAATAACAAAAACCTGGACTCCATTGCAGCCGCTTAATCAGGCTGCGACGTTTGCCAGTATGCGTGTATGTTCCACAATGAGTTGCTGTTTATTTCTAAATGTATTTTACCGTAAATTACTGTAAACAACATTAAATGTTGTTAGCCGTTAAAAACACCCCATACCCATCACCTTCTGGGGGACCCATCGACGATCTATGGATCTTTTTGCAATTTCAGACATGAAAAGCAGCAATTTAGCTCATTTACTTGGGAAACCCTATTTTATACTGATAATTTTATGAACACAGATTTGGACATTTGGATGCATTTCCTTTACGAACATTGTCATAAAAATATTGCCGGGTACTGTCAAATTATCGCAAATCAATCAGAATACACAATTTGAACTTTTAAATTCAGTAAATTGAAATAGTATGCGCTAGAATTATTATTTAGTATAATTTTGAAGGACACCTCTATTTATCTGAATAATTTTTTGTATGGTTTCAGAATGCTAAAACTTGGCAGCTTTCGTAAAAATTGTAAAATTTTATCAAATATAGAAATTGTGTTTCTAAAGTGATCAGATTCATGTGTTAAGATTCCTGATTTATAGGATTCTGATTTCTGAAATTTTATGACCTCCTTCTTTTAAAAGAAACCAAACAGAGTTTTGATCAAGAGAACCAAATTTCAAATTTAAACCAGTGAAGAAAGACCTTGTACTAAATTTAGAACATGAAATCTAATACCAGGGTGCCAAGAACTGGTCAAGTTATAGTACCTTCTTAGTGAGATATTGTCTATTGGGGACAAGGTGCAATATAAATTTGTATCATATCTGTCAAAGAGTAATGAACCATCACATTCCAGTTTTGGCTGTAATGGCCGCCAAGTGGTAGTAAAAGTTAGGACTGTATTAATAGATAATAATTAATATTAAAATTAATAGCAAGATTTGAGATCATTGATGGCCTGTAGCTGTAATTGGGGAGCTAGAAATTTTTCTTCATGACATGAGGTTATATTGTAGATAGATTCTTCATAAAAAGAAAAAAAAACAATGATCTGACTCCTTCATAGACTTACTTTGTTCTACTATAGACTTCAGTCAAATATTAAGGTCAATATAGTAAGAGACTAAGCTTGATTGTTCTTTTGGTTGGCATATAACTTAACATAAAAATTTTAATTTATTCACCATCACATAACATAAATATTTCAATAAACACTAAGTAAATTTGCTCTTTATCCAACTCAAAAAATATAATGTTCACAACTGATTTGAATAAACAACTTTTAAAGATTTTTCTTTCTAATTACAGCATCAAAAACATTCTACTACCAGGCCCAGCTATAACTAACACAGAAAACCTCAACCAAAAGCCAGATTTTTGTAATAAATTGGATTGCCCAAAATTTGAGGTTGTCAAAGATGTAAAGGTAGGTTGTAAGATAATTATTTCTAGTTTCATTTTTTAACAAAATGACAATATATACAGAACAATTAATTTTTTATATGTTACTATTTCATATTTGTATATATTCCACGTCTAAATATTTTGTAGCCTTTAATAGATTTTTTAGTACAGTCTTGATATCGTGTTTAGTGTCTTTTTCCTCAGATGAACTATTTTTTAATTCAAAATTATTATCATGCTGTTTTAAATGGATAGAAATTCATAAAGTTTGCCGTTAATGTACAAGAGCAAAATGTAATATTTGTCAACTGTCACCTTTACTCTGTACACTGAGTATATTTTGCGTAGTTATGTGACCGGTTAACTGGTCGCTAGAATTGAAAGGGTTAAGAAGTGGATTGATAATTATTTACAAAATTTATTCTTACCAAAATTTGTTATGTTTTAAGGATAAATATCAAATTCGACAATATGAACCATCGAAATGGGTAATGACAGAGATGCTGGGAGTAAATTATGAGGATGCTAAAAAAAAAATGTTTATGAAGTTATTTGAATATATCCAGGGCAAAAATGTCAAAGGTATGTATTTTGTAATATTCAGAAATAAGACAGGCAACGTTTTCACTTTAAAAGCAATCTACTTTGTGTTACAGAGTATGATTCATTCCACTGATTTTTTACTTTTAAGTTTGGTTTTCAAACATTGTTTATGAATGAAGTGATTTTGAAAAAATATTTGTTTCAAACAAAAGAATGTGTACAGTTGACTAATCAAACAAAACCCATTCCAATAGGTTCTTTGAAAATTCTCTGCAAAGTTCCAATTAATTCCCATTATTTCAAAGGCATAGGCTCAATAAACCAAATGAGAGTGATTTTATGAAAAATATGCCCATATTTATAAATTTCTGATATTGTATATGTAGAAGAGTCAATCCACCAGTCCCCGTTTTTATTTCTATGGTCAGTAGTATGCTTGTTTTGATTTTAAATTGTTTGCAAATATGCACAAACATGTCTCCTGGACTAAAATATGATTTTCTTATCTACTTCATACTGCTACTAATTGGAACAATGTATTTTTCAGATATGAAAATAGAAATGACGGCACCAGTTTTGATGAGACTAATACCAGGCCAGGGTCCAGCGTGTGATAACAACTTTACTATGGCTTTTTATGTATCCAATTCAGTTCCTAATCCACCTAAAGCTAAAGACTCTACAGTTTATCTTAAAAACTATCCAAAGTTTAAAGCTTTTGTTAGGTGAGTTTGAACTTAAAATAAATCAAAATTTGATGAACAGTTTGAGAGTTACAGTTATTATGCTTGTATTTCATTCTGTTCTTGCAGACAAAAGGCTATAGTTTTCAAAAAATTTTGTTTGTACTGGGTGTGATAAATGAAAATGGACATGTTAGAATTATTACCCTTGATGAAATGTTTTGGATTTGTAGCCCTGGACTTTGCAAAAGCTCGTCAAAATGTTTGTGCTAGCACAAATGAAGATTTCATCTCATTTTGGATAAGATCATAGATATTTTCCAATTTGGCCAAATTTGTTGGTGACAAAGTTAAGATTTTGTGCTTTTTGACCATAAAACTATTTGATAATTGCTTTTGTGGTCATGTTCAAGTTGACAAAGACAGTAATTGAAATATATTTAAAATCCATGAATTGTTTTTACAGGTCTTTCCCTGGATATATTACTGAAGAAAAAGATTTTATAGAAGAAACACGGAAATTGATCACATATTTAAATGGAACATCATTAGATAAATCTTACTTTATCACTGCTGGTTATAACAGTCCGTTTCAGTTGTTAGACAGACATAATGAAGTGTGGCTCTTTCCTTAAATATCATATGTAAAGGATTACATCAAGATTTTCTCCAATTTATTCCATTTACAGCTAATTAGAATGAGAATTATCAATTGAGATCTGAATATTTAGTGCTTTTCACTTCTTTAACATTGGCATAATATTATCTTGTAGAATACTCTGAAAGACCTGTTAATATAATCAGGAAATTAAATGTTAAAATGAACAAATTGAAAATATAAAGTCCCTTTTAAAATATTTTTCATGTTTGATATCTGTTTTTGATATTTTGTATATGTACACCAGATTACATACTAAATTTATAAATTTACTGTTGTTGTTTTTTGGAACCAATCTTTTGTAGAAAAGAGTTTCCCATTTCCTATATATTTTTTTTTCTTTTTTTTTTGTAAACAATATTTTATTCACAATTATATAAATATACATTATGAAAAGGATTGAGGAACAGGCTATTGCCCCTTTCCATTAATGACTAATGTAAATATAAACAGACAATATTTTCTACACACACAATTCCTAATGTTTGAAATATTTATTAAAAATGGAAAATTTGTCGAAAAGAACTCATTTGGTAAAAAAATTGTATGAAATGAGCAGATGTAATCAGAATCTCATAGAAAGTTCAAAAAAGGTATGAACAGTTTGTTAAATTTCAGTACAGCTGTCAGGACAGTTGGTACCAGATCCAAATCCAAATCTTTCTCTGTCACACATCAGTTTTTCATAAAATACTCCACATACCCTAAAATTATATTCATATTAAAACGGCCATGAGATAAGTTTCACATTAAAATGCTGTCAATTGCAATTAATGGACCATACAACAAACTAGAATACTTTGACATATATAAGTCTAAATAAAAATCTATATTATTGTGTATTCACAAAATGGTATCCAACACTTACAGCATTTAAGTGTCAAGTCTCACAAAATAAATTTCCATAATTGCTGTCCAAAATTTATATGGCCAATTGAAAAGTTACGAATAATTCATAAACAAAATATGGGGAATTTCTTAAGTGGGATGAGGTTTAGAGCAGTTATTTTGCTTAATTCCAATTAACATACATTAGATACAGCCTAGATTTTCCTTAGTTTTGGAAAAATCTATTTTACAAACCTGGTTAAGTCTGGACCAAGATTCAAGACTACAAAAGGGGAAAAAGATATTAAACTCAAGGTTGAAACCTTAAACTTATAGGCACAAGAACAAAGTAGCATGATATCTATCTAAACTTCCCTTTCTATGCAAGAATAGAGTATACTTCCTCTGTTCTTTTTTATTTACCTGCCAAGTTGAAAGGGAGTTGAATAATCCAGAACAATTATCTTGACCATTGTTAGAATTGGATTCTGGACCCTCAGATAAAAAATAACAAAATTTGAAGATATTGCCGGTGAGAAAACATTCAATTATAATACAAGAAGGATAAGAGTATCCTGCCTCATCAGTCAGTTGGCTATTAATCAGTTTCAATTTAAATAACATTTAAGAAAGAGCATGGAGAGAGTGTTTTTACCCCTCCCTAAAAACTTTTACCAGGCCCCACCTCCCCTATCACTACTAACAATTTGGATTTTACTCATCCCTTTTCCTAATATTGGAGCTAGCAATATCTGAATAGATCAAGAAATGTCCTACTTAATTGTTAAAGTTAAAAAAGAGTTTTTGAACAAACAAAAAACACTTCGTTGTGAACAGTTGGTTTGATAATGGGGTCCAAATGTGACTTGAACAATTCTAATCTGAACAATTTTCATCATTCATTTCTCAATACAGTCTGTTTGATTGCTTCAGATACTAAGCCTAGTACTAATATTAAAATTCTAATTGAATCAAATTTCAAGAAAACCTATCCGAAATTCAGTACTTCAAACCAGAATTAATCAGAATCAGTTTCATAAGAATCAAACAGGCTTTCTGAACACCTATCAATACCTAATCTTATCCCTAAATAGTACAGGTGAGCTATAACTGAAAACTGTTCATCCATTCTATTGTTTCAACAAATTCAAACATTGTTCCTGAAGTAAACATTGCATGTGGGGATCTCGGCAAAAAATTCAAATATGGACAAATCATGGTAGGTTTTAATGATTATATATTTTATAAATTTGAAATCAGACCATTATATTTCTATTCCTGAAAATATTGTTAGGTCAGTTGAGGTTTTTGTCTCTTATTGTTAATGAAATTCAACCATAACTCTAGTGGGACCTGAAACAATGCCAAGTTTGAGATATATTTGAATGAATTATGCAATTTTTGTATATCTCTTGTACTTCTGATGATTATTTACACATATTCAAGCCTGAATCAATCCAAGAAAACGGCCAAGCTGTCTTTTTAAGTACTGCATGATGTAATTGGAAATTTGAAGTCCAATAAGATGGAGATTTCATTTCAGTGCACAATCCAAATAATTTTCTTTTCATGTCCCCACAAACTGATTAAACCAGAAAGTATAGGAAGAAGACAGAACTGCTAATTCAATTAATAAAAAATACAATGAATAATACAGAATATGGAACAATTAGGAATTGTAAGTGTGTTTGTATTTTAAATATGTAAGGATTCTTCTGACTTGCCTGTTGAATTGCAGTAGGTGTTATAGTTTTATGTTGGTGTGGACTATAAACACAACGTTCAGGACAGTTTTACTCAGAATGAATATTATACAATAATGACATGCCCAATAGACCGTACAATAAGTTACGTCACGCGAGTGGTTATCACATGATACAACATCCCCCTGTTTTTGTAAGATAACATTAATAGTTAAGGTTTGAATTGTTCAATGATATTTAAATAAATATATTGGTCTTTGTAACGACTTGGTGTTTTTATGTCACGTCCAGATCTCGACTTCACATATTGATGTTCTGATGAAGGGCGCGTAGCGGGTTTGTCTTCTTCCGTTGTACTGTTGGTTGGTGGAATTATTGGATTCAATTCTAGACCGTTGTGATTTCCATGCAATGGTTGGAGTTGGTTGGGGTAGTGCAAATCTTAGTTTTAACTGGTTTTGGAAAGGTGTTATAACTTAACAGTGTTGGCTGTGGTTGTGTTGATGCTCGTTGATGCACTTCCCGTAACTGAGATCTATTACGTCGGACTGTGGTTCCTAAACTCGTCCTGACGATATATGATCTGGGTGGGTGTAGTAGCTTTTCAACAATATGACCTGGAGTCCATGTTTCCGACCTGTGGTCAATTATGCGGACCGACTGGCCGGAAAATAGACGAGGCAATTCAGTTGGCAAGGAATGACTGTCATGATGGACTTTCATGATTTTGTTCCTGTTGTTTAGATGGGATCGTTGTTCTATCTTTGGACTCGGGGTCTGGTGAGAGGGTAAGGTGGTACGAATGGGTTTACTCAAAAGGATTTCGGCTGGTGAAGGTAAGTTATGATCAACCGGAGTAGCTCTTAGATGTAGAAGTGCTTTATCGATTTCTTGTTGACTTTTAATACATTTTTTGATTATAGACTTCACTGTTCCAACTGTACGCTCTGCCATGCCATTTGACTGTGGAAAAATGTGAAGAGGAAGTAGTGTGTTTTATCCCCCAGTCATAGCAGAATTGTTGGAACTCTCGTCCAGAGTACTGTGTACCATTGTCGCTAACGATTTCTTCCGGTACACCAAAAATCGAACATAGAGTTTTCATCTCTGCTGTAACAGATGCACTGTTGATTGAGTTTATCAGCTCCTTGATTATTGGGTATTTGCTGAAGTAATCAACAACTAACAGGAAATGTCTTTCGCTGATTTGAAAAAGATCAGTTCCAAGTTTTATCCATGGAAAAGGTGAAACATCATGTGGTTGGAGTGGTTCGGACTTTTGTCTAGGTTGGAATTCTTGCCATTGGTCGCAGTTGCTGATCATCTTCTCGATATCTGCATTGATATTAGGCCAATAGACGGATTCTTGAGCTAATTTCCTAGTTTTCTCTATACCTTGGTGAGATGCATGAAGTTGGGAGAGAATATCAGCTTGAAGGGTCTTTGGAATAAGTATCTGTCGGCCTTTGAAGATAATTCCTGATGTGACAGCTAACTGGTCTCTGTATGACCAGTATGGTCGCAGCTCACGGGTCAACCCTTTTATCGTGTCCGGCCACTCCGTAAGAATAGTCTCACGAAGTGCGTTGAGTACAGGATCGGCAGTTGTCTCGCTTCGTAGTTGATCTTGTTTCGTTGTACCAAAATTGATTAGGTCTATGTCGACACTATCAATTACAAGCGTTTCGACACGTTCATCTAGAGGTATTTCACTTGAATTCTTTGGGTTTGGTAGTCTGCTAAGGGTATCTGGTATGACTAGTTCTGGACCAGGTTTGTAGACTAGATCAAAATCGTAGCCGGCTAGTTTCAAAAACATGCGCTGAAGCCGAGGTGGTGCACTGGTAATTGGTTTCTGGTGGATCATCACAAGTGGTTTGTGACCGGTGATGACTGTAAAGCGTCTGCCATACAGATAGACATGAAAACGATTAATACCATGCACCAAGGCAAGAGCTTCTCGTTCGATGTTTGAATAGGCTGCTTGAGTTGGCGTTAAGGATTTTGAGGCAAAGGCAATTGGCTTTTCCTGTAGTAGTGCTGCTCAAAGTCCTTTTTGACTAGCATCTACTTCAAGAATGAGAGGTTTACTGACATCGTAGTAGGAAAGGCAAGACTCGGTAGTGATGAGCGATTTCACTCGCAAAGCAGGTTTGGTGATCTTCTGACCATTCAAATGGTACATCTTTTCGTATGAGGTCACGTAGAGACTGGCTCTCGGAACTGTAGTTTGGTATATATGAACTGAGGTAGGTCATCATTCCAAGAAATCGTTGAAGATCTTCTTTGGTTTGAGGAGTAGGCATTCTTTGGATATCACGTATCTTATCAGGGTCGGGTATGATGCCGCGATCTGTGTACAAGTTTCCAAAGAATGGTATCTCTTTGCGGTTGATGATACATTTGTTCGAATTGAATACAAGTCCTTTCTCTACTGCTCGGAACA